ACACTTCGGGTTCGACTCATTAATTGCCGCGATTTCCTTGTCCGTGTCGGATTCGGCTTGGCAATTGCGCGACAATTATGCTCGCTGTCGTCAGATTTGTTGCTGGACCCGGCCCTTCCCATATGACTGATTCTCCTGCTCGGGCGATTTTTCAGTACACAGTGTGGAATGCCAACTCGTTGCGCTTGTTGATGGACTGGGGGCCTGAGAACCGTGACTCGAGCAGCTCGCGGCTCACGCGGTTATCAACTCTTGTGAGGATTTCGGCTTCCTTGTTTTGGGTACCCCCTCGTACGCAATATTTTTCGGGATGTAAACAACAAATATAAAGGTCAGACAAATTGGCGAGTCATTTCAGTTTTCAGGACCCCATTTGAGGGACTGAAAGAGACCCCTCTTCAAAAAAACCCTTGAGACCTGAGCAGGCCTTTATGGAAATAGCGCTGACATCAGCTTACATTCCCTTTTGCACTTAACGAGTCTTTATGTATTTTCAACGCAAAAACTGTCAGGAATGTTTAGAAAATAGTGCTAACGGGAAATTCACGTGTTTTTTTCAGAAAGTTGAGCGATTATTTTTCTCTTAAGCTTCTTCTGCGTCCTGAAACTCGCCCATGCACTTGTATCAGAGATATTAAACTCCCAAGCTGAAGACATTAACATCTTCGTTTAAAAACGGAAAGTGTTTAGTCATGCTCTAAAGCTAGTTGACGGTGACCAATTGTCATTCCTTCATTGAAGGTAATTTGCCAGTGTTTGGACCACAGCGCCAGACAGGTAGGTGCTAGCAAATCTCCAAATGATCCGGTGTGCTGTTTGGTCCATGTATGCTCTTTTTTCCGTCATTTCTGCAATCTTAACAGGTAAGACGTTGCACAAAGAGCTCAAAGAGCTCACATTCCGCCATTTATCGACCGATACCACTTGTAATTAGCCTATGCTCAGTGGCGAAGTAAAAATAAAGTCTCTTCAAGAACGCCATACCAGAATTAGAATCTTTCTACAAGTCTATACCTACCTTCTCACCAACAGACGTAGCCATCTGTTCAATGCCCTTATTCAGTCTGTCCTTGGATGCAGTCACAGTCGATTCAATCAAGTTCTTATCGTTCTCCGACGGCGGTTGAAGGTCATCTGCGCTAAAGGATCGGTTAAGCAGCTGGGTGCCCCTAAGCACAACGGTGGGGTTGCCATCAGTGGGCGCAGGGCTGACAGTGATGGCTTCACCTGCCGGTGGAACCATGGACA